GTACCTACCGGCAACTATTTTGGATGCATCTATCGCACCCTCTCTCACTGGCAGTACGAGCAGGGATTTTGTCCAGCAGCACCGGGTCAGGTAGTGAACCGAATCTGATTCCACCGAGTCCTGTGAGTCGGAATCAGGTTCCAGCTCGACTGAGTCTGAGTCTGGTAATCCTGGGGATGATAACCCGGATGCCACAGTTATGTCCAGGTCGTCTTTTCTTTCTCATTTGAGTCTGTTGTTGTAGACTCCCCGAGCGCCCCGGAGGATGACTCCCGTTCTGTTCATGGGGGTCACTACAGCTCAGGACTCTCAAATTGTCACGGTTCTAAGTCTGAACCAAAGAGTCCAAATCCGGCAAATCGTTTGAGAAAACAGATTTTTTTAGAAAGAAGTGCCAAAACATGGACTGCTTGCCAGATACAGAGTCGCCACCTAAATATTTTATTTTGGAGATATTTAGGAAACCCTGACTCGTTTGCTAAGCCACGTGTCCGTCATCACCAAAGTTGCCTCGGCTCGGGAACTTGGGTACGATTGGGGAAGGTCACTTCGTGAGCACCCCTGCTCGCCCCATCAAAGATCGGCCTCTACTAACCATGATATCTAGTTTGAAACTTTGTGTGTTCTTATTCCGGTTATTAGCCTAGTTTTACTATGTGATGCGCACAGCATACAAGTATAGACCGGGTCGCCCGAATTGGAACAAAACGTTTCATGTTGTTTTGGAAGGTGGTTTACTACTCGCAAGTAGGCTTAAAATGCAGATTTTTGCCACCCTCAGGTGGGCTTAGAAAAGATGGTTTTGCCACTATCTAGTGGGCTTAAAACAAACAGTTGATGATTTATTCCAATCCAAGTAACCCAACCTTCACCCACAGGCATTCAGGCAGTTATATCACATAAGCAATTAGCTTCATGGTAAGCAGCTGTTCATGGCAACACTCACACGCATGCAAGATGCTAAATCATAAACTCACCGAGTACTCCAAGCCAAAACAGAAGCTCATTAGAAATCATGCATGATCCTAAGTATACAGAAATGCCTAATGCAACACACGCAAAAATGCAAACTATAGCAGGCTCGACTATTCTAAACATGGCATATGGAATGCTACAGCTAACAAGTATTCAACTTTAGAATTGAAATACAATGCAGTTAGTATGATGCGCCGAGCCCGGTGCATGCAAAAACAGATGAATGAATGCAAACATGCTATTCATACTGTATGCTAATTGAAACATGCCCTAACTAACCATCATAAGCGGATAAATAAAAGGGAGAAAGACTTGGGGTTGGAAAGACATGCATCACCACACGCACACTTATTACAGTTTTGCCCTCGCGCAGAGGGTTCGAAATAAATTACAGCTCCGAATGAAAAAGAATAGTACAGTCCAAATAATTACAAATTCCTAATTAATTTACAAATTAACTAAGAAAGCTGTGAAAACTGGCGTGCAAGCCAGGGACTGCCTTGACTCTTTCCGCGGTGATGAATGATGCATGTCCGGGTTGCCTTTGCGCGGAAATCCATGGCGATGCCCCAGTTAGCCTCTGTTTTGCACTTGTTCTTGAAATGCGCGCCAAGCTCGGAAGACTGCTGATTCTTGATTTTTGCTGCATCAGAGAGCAGGAAAGTGGCATAGCAATGTATTTCACAAATATATGCATGCCTCGATCCTCGTGCCACCAATCACGCATATCGATGCATAATGGCGAGGAGGCCGAATTGCACAATTCAATATAGAATGAATGTGCATGAAAAACACACAAATCTAACTCCATCATGGATGATCCGGAGTGTCGTGACTGGGAATTGAGACGCGTTCCGTCACTCGGAGTACGAAACGCACCTCGTTTCCCACGCCCGGGCTAACTCCTATTCCGAACACAATGCAATATGCATGACATGCATGAATGCAACTAAGATACAGCCTAGCATGCACAATGCTATGAAAATGAGATGCCTCGAAATGCGTGCACACAGGCACACAAATCGAGAAATGCATGAATGCGATCTAAGATACAACCTAGTTGCACTATGCTGTGAAAATGAGATGCCTCGAAATGCGTGCACAACGGCACGCAAACTGAGAAAATGACATACGCAATGCAAATGACATGGAAATATGATATGGGCTTACACTAACATGAGAGAGCCTCAGCCACACTCACATAAGAGGTCGATGGGCACGCAAACCGAAGCAAATGGCATATGCAATGTAATATGGCTAAAATGGCATATAGGATGCAACATGGACTTATACTAACATGAGAGAGCCTCAGCCATACTCACATAAGAGGCCATCAGATGAAAATGAGATGCTCGAAATGCGCGCACACGTGCACGCAAACCAAGGATCGACCCTAAGGCACAAAATGGCACTCTAATGAGACATGAAGTATGGAATACAAGCATGAAAATTTTAGAGGCGATAAATGATGCAAAAACAGCCCCGAAATGTGGTAAAACAACACCCGATGCACGGATAGTCCCGAAACTGAAATTTTTGGCACCCGAAATGGCCTATAAGCTATGCCAAACATGCATTGTATGAACGTGAAGTGCTGAATACAGAAACAAGGCAGTCCCAAAATAAGCATTTTTACAGTTCAAAGCATGGCCAAACAGTAAACAATAACAGGGCAAAACAAGCATACAAAAATGGCCCTAAATGTGAGACAAAGAAGCAACTCACAGCTGCTGACCCCAAACAGGTTAGGGGCCTTCTACAATATTGAAGAGGGGCCAAAAATATGATGTTTTACAGAACTGTAAAAACCCTAAAAACAGACACAAGTATGCTCAAAAAGCTATGCAAGATAAGGCCCAAAAGAGGTTACAACACTAAGTATACAAAATATGCCCCAAACAGAAAAATATTCTTAATGAAACATGACAAGGGGGTCAAAATAATACCACTTTCAGTTCGAATCAAGGTCCAAAAACAAAAACACCATAGGCTAATAAATCATGCAAAAAAAGGGGGGGAAGAGGGCTACAATGGCAAGTGGCATATGGAAATATCAAATGGTGATGAGTCCTTCAACAATGTTGAAGAAGGGCTCAAAATAAGCACACTTATAGTTTATAACATGCCTCAAAACAGATCACACACAAGCCAAAAATATCATGCAAGAAAGATGGCATACAAGAGGGTAATGAAGCAAGTGCAACAAGGAGGTCCCAAATATGGTAAGACCCTTAATGAAAGATGAAAATAAGCTCAAAATATGGCCACTTTCAGTTTTGGTCGGAGCTAAAATGTATAAGCAAGAAGGGCTAAGATATAGACCAAGAAAAAAGCAAAAAAATGGAAAAACGAGACTCACCCTTGAAGACTAGTCTTTAGCAACCTCTTGGCTTGAGAAAAATATGCTCCTTGCCTCTGGAAATGACCTCCAAACTGCTGGTATGGAGTGGTGGTGGTGGTGCTAGATGGTGGTGAAGGAATGGTATAGGGAACTTGGAGTTTTGATGGTTGGAATATAGAGAGAGAGATATATATAATGTAGGAGCTCTAGACAAAAATTTCTAACCCTTAAATCTGAAGGGGAGGGGCTGTATATATAGGCAAAAGGGGTGGAAAAAGAGGGGGAAAAAAGGGGGGGAAATTCGGATTCAAAATTCCCCCCAAAAAGGCCAAAAGGGTGAGACAAAGAGGGAAGTGGTAGCTGCGGGTCCCAAATGGCCAAGAGCCCTTCAACAAACTTGAAAAGGGGCTAAAAACAAGGAACTTTGTAGTTTACATCAAGCCACGAAAATAAATACACGTAGGCCTAAACTATCGTGCAAGAAAAGGGAAAAAAGGAGGGGTAAAGAAGCAAGTGATAGATGGAGATGTCAAACATCAAGAGGTCCTTAATCAAACATGAAAAGGAGCTCAAAATATGACTATCTTAAGTTTGGGTCAAAGCCCAAAAATGCAGAATGAAGGTTCGGGAGCCGAAACACGCAGTTTGGGGCCCCGAAAGTGGGCTGTTAGGCACCGGGAGTGGTGCTCAACCACGAAGTTGGTCTCTCGGACCACAGTATCCCTCAAAAAGGAGTAAAAAAGATATGCGCCAAAAATTGGGACAAACGAAGGTGGTTAAGCGGTCCCGAATCGAGACACACGGCCTGACGGCTCCGAAAACCGGGAACCGAGCTCCGAAACGGGCAAAATGGCCTACGACCATGAAATGTAGCCCACGGCCACTGAGAGATGGTCCACGGGACCTCTCCTTCCCCTCAGGACAAGAAACAGAGAAAACCGAGTCTAGTTCGCGAACCGAGGCAAGGTACAAAAGAAGGTTCGGGAGTTAGGA